GAAAAGGGCTAAAGAGATATTTTTTTCACAGGGGGCCTCTAAATAGGGCCCAGATCAGGAATCTGAAATATGGGAACCCTAACCCACCCAGAACTTTTTTTTCAATAAAATGTCAAACTTTCTCACATAATGCTGTCTGGAGCTAAGAATCTGACACCCTTGTGGTGAGGGAAGAGGAGGAAATTGAAACAAATTGAAAAAATGTGCTTGGTGCTCCGAGCCTTTGAGAGTGTGTTGTTGCACTTGAGTGGAACCCGCTTGCAAAATGTGGGGACCCTGCGACCGTGTACAGTACTAAGAGCCATTTCATTTTATTCCCATCCCCCACCACGAGCCTGTCAGATTCTAAGCAGTGCAGTTGCAGTCATATAAGGGTTGCTCATTGATGCGGATGGTCACGAGTTCGAATCCATGCTATGGCATGCATGCAACATTTTTTATATTTAGTCAAGAGAGAATTATATGTGGAAAGTTGTCTTCTCAGACTCTCCATATTTGAAGTTGATTATTGTATAGTTAGTGTTATAGTATTTTAGGGTAGTTAGTATAATATGTTTATTCATTTTGTAACTATTAAATGTAAAACACACGTTTTTCACACGCTGGGAGTACTTCCATTCGCTTCGTCTTGGTGTGATGTGATTTGATGTGTCGTTTGTACATTTTGATGGCGGAAAATATAGGAAAATGTCCCATTGATATACATACTGAGAAATATATCTATATATAATTTACTTTTTTCTCAGCAATTTTTAAGCGGCCCTGTGTCGCACTGAGATAAGCGTTGGTCTTTGCTGTGGGAGACCCGGGTACGATACCCGCCTAAGCTGTTTTAATGAAAATGCGAAAATTATTTAAAATGAGTTGAATTGAGAGAGGGAGAAAGGATCTTTACTTTTAGGTTAATTATTATAGGTTTATTTATTATGGAATTATTAAATATAAAACAATTGTGTTGAATTAAGAGAGGGATAATGGGTTACATTATAATTTATGTCAGGGTGAACAGTGAATGTGTGAAATACTAATATTATGCTAACCGCTAATTGCTAAGCTAACGGGAGCTATTTCAATGTATATTTCCATTGAAAATGCTAACCGCTAGCAGCAAAGCTAGCATCACAGCCACTGCTCCGTTTGCGGATACTTTGCACACGTTTTTCACACGCTAGAAGTCTGAGAGTACTTCCGTTCGCTTCGTCTTGATCTTTAGATGTCTATCGATGCATCGTTTGTCCATTTTGATGGTGTAAAGGACTACTGTCTGCACGAAATCGGAAATCGGTTTTTGAAAGGACTCACTGGCTGCCTCACTTCATGGAGGAATGTCTCCCCGCTCCATGTGCACTCTGGCCCCGGTACATGTGTTGCCTGGAGACCCCCAGTATGGTTCTTAAAAAACTTTAAGTTTTTTAAACACTCATGCAGCACTGCAGCTTCTCAAAAGGCCTTAACGGAAGGTTTTGTTACATTTTAAGCCGTAACCTTTGACATTTAGATGCACCAGAGGCATCCATTTGCATCTGCTCTCCGAGACGGTTAAAATGACATCAAGCTCAAAGCGGTCGGACCTTCCTTTGTGCTGTAAAGGGCACCGTACGACATGGAAACGTGACCTTTGACCTTTGGAGCTTTGTTACATTTCAAGCCGTAACCTTTGACATTAGGAGCAGCAGAGGCATCAATCTGCATGCACTTTTCGAGCCGGTTCTAATGAGAGCAAGCTCAAAGCGGTCGGACCTTCCTTTGTGCCGTAAAGGGCACAGTATGGCATGAAAACGTGACCTCTGACTTCGGTTTTGACCTTGTCGAAGGTCCCCAAATTTTGCAAGCGGGTTCCACACACGTTAACCAACACACTCTCAAGGTTTCGGAGCGCCAACCACATTCTTTTCATTTTCTGCCCCTCCCCACCACAAGCCTGTCAGACACTTAGCTTATGAGAGGATTTTGTGAGAAAGTTTGACATTTAATTGAATAAACATTTCTGGGTGGGTAAGGGTTCCCATATTTCAGATTCCTGATCTGGGCCCTATTTAGAAGACCCTGAATAAAAGGACCCCATATTAGGTTGACGGACACCCCCCCCCCCCCCCATAAGTATAAGTACACAGCAAGTGACTACTTGTGTTACTGTGTAATATGTGGAAAGTGGGACCCCATATTGGGTTTACGGACACACCCCCTAAGTATAAGTACACAGCAAGTGAATACATGTGTTACTGTGTAATATTTGGTAAGTGGGACCCCATATTGGGTTGATGGACACCACCCCCCCCATAAGTACGAGTACACATTAAGTGAATACTCATGTTACTGTGTAATATGTGGAAAGTGAGACCCCATATTGGGTTGATGGACACCCCCCCCATAAGTACAAGTACACATTAAGTGAATACTCATGTTACTGTGTAATATGTGGAAAGTGGACCCTCATATTGCCTTTGGGCCACCCCCATGCAGTATAAGTACACACTGGTGAAAAGAGCGCCACCTATTGTCCAATGCATGCATACACACTCAGATGCTGTTTGAGTACTCATTTAGACTGGCAAGCGACGGTAAAAAGTCGAGTCGGTCCCTCCTCCTAGATATAATGCCAACGAGTGTGTTATCCCAATGGGAAGAATGTCCATGCCGGCAATTAGCGACTTACCACGTGAATCCTACGCACGGCGTTATAAATGAGGCCCCTGGTTGTGACATCACCCATTGTCGGATAGACGTGTGTTCATTTATCTCTCAGGACGTCCAGTAGTTTATCTCTGAATTTTGACAATTTGATAATAAAATAATACAATTCAATAACGTGCTTTAACCACCAGGTGTCCCTTTCTATCAGCTGTGTACCGTTATGGTGTAAATACAGCCTATCTACCAAAAGGATCAAATATAAAAGTCAGCCGAATTAGTGTTGATACTGCAAGGAGACGTATTTTGTGAAAAGAAATGTAAGATGCTGTTTAATTGCTTATATATTTATGATCCACGTCACGTTTTCATTTTTTGGCGGCAGTTCTCTGCAGGGCTCTATAAATAGAGAACTACGGCAGATATGTAATATTTAATGCAGCCGAACCGTGTATTACAATGCCGTTATGAGAAAAGCAAGCACACTCGGAATAAAGTATTATTGTATTTTTAAAAAACGTTTTCAGATTTCACATCACATAAACACCTAATCCCAGCATGCATTGCGGCTAACCATCCAATCATCGAGCTGAGGATCTTGCCTACGTCTGTTTCCGGTTTCGTTTATCACCGATGTATTTTGTTATACTCACATTCCTTCACATTTACATTTTAATTTGCATTAAAGTATTTCGTGAGGCCTTCTAACATGTTTTTAAATATAACTACGGTTGTAGTTGAATAGTTTGTAAATTAACATGAACCGAAGCTGTTGCCTGGCAACTCAATCGCACAACGTCACGTCCGTTAATTCCACATCCACACGCACGGATTAACATCGATGTAATACATTAATGTACCCTTTGTTTCTGCTCAAAGAGGTGTCGACCAGCTGGGGCAACAAGAAAATCGGCGTAATCGAGTGTGGCTATTAAAAAATAAATCATTACGTCGGGGTAGCATTTGCTTGGTATTTCCGGTTATTTCTGTTTAACAATACCGTGTAGCTGTCACGTTTGAAGGGACGAAATCGTGACATCTTCACGTCTCCCAGCATGGTAAATCGTCACATGTTCACGTTTTGCCGTGATATCGGGTCGCTCATGTGCTTCTTGGCCGTCGGCTGAAGTCTTTGCGGTGTGTTCGGTGCGACTTTTTGGCCAAGACGCAGGAGACGTGAGGCGACACAACAGTCGTGTTCCGTCGGGACTTGTTCTTTGGTTTCAGCTTGGTGTGTCAGGGCCTTTAGCTTGACCCTGGATTCAGAGAGACAGGAGGTGGACAGGAGTGGAGGAGGGTTGGGTCGAATCACTTGAAATGACAGGGGGAGAGCAGATTTTAAAGGTTTAGCGGAGCGCTATGATAGGCTTATGAGAATAGAGCAAAGTGATTGGTTAAGCTGGGGAGTGACGCCCCGATCACTTATTGCGAGGAGAGAGAGTAGTAACATGGACAGTCAATGAGTAAAGACGGTCTTCCTGGTTGAACTTGCGCTGAGCTTCATTAGTTAGAGCTGGTTTTAGATTATTCCCCATGTTTGTCCTCCTGAGTCCTACATTTAATTGTGTTGTTTGTTCTGTCTTTTTGTTCTATTTTTATCTGTTTTATTTGTATTTCGCATTCTTTCATGTTGTTATACATTATTTCATACTGTCATCTATGTTTATTATTCTGTAAAGCCACATGTTTTGTGATATTGGGCTATATAAATAAACTTTGATTTGATCTAATAATTCCCAAAGTAAGTTCTGATAAAGTTTATTTTTGGATTCAAGATTAAACTTGTGTTGTCGTTTCTTCAGATTCAATCAATAAAAAATGTATTGAATTTATTTATTCTTTTTATTTTGTAAAATAGTAAAACATGTTTGAATGATCGCGGATACAAGCGGCCGAGATGGGTTTTCTCCGCAGGGTGGCTGGCGTCTCCCTTAGAGATAAGGTGAGAAGTTCGGTCATCCGGGAGGGACTCGGAGTTGAGCCGCTTCTCCTTTTTGTCGGGCACCTAGGGAGGTGTTACAGGCATGTCCAGCTGGGAGGAGACCGAGGGGTAGACCTAGGACCAGGTGGAGGGATTATATCTCTTCGCTGGCCTGGGAGCGCCTTGGGACACCCCAGTCAGAGCTGGTTGATGAGGGGAAAGGAACGTTTGGGGCTCTCTGCTGGAACTGCTACCCCCGAGACCCGACCATGGATAAGCGGGAGAAGATGGATGGATGTTTGAATATAGCAGGAAGAATGACACAAGTGATTAAATGGATAACATGTCATGTAAATACCTGCAATTTCTGGTCTGTAGTGAAAAGTAAAACAATAGGATGCAATGTTTGCTCTTTCCAGCAGAAGTAAGATGTGCAAAAATACAAAAATCAAGGCACAAATACATTGTCTTTAATAAACTACACAATCATATAACTCAAGTCATACAAATCCAAGTTATTTCATTCGACACAGGACAAGACGTACAGAGGTCAAACTCTCAAACTGTCCATCTTCTTAGTTTAGAGATTAATTGTTTTGCACTTTATCACAAACACTCACAAAGTCAACCCAAAACCGTAGTTACAGAACAGTAGCTGGTGTTTTTGTAAAGAGTTAAACCGGAAGAGGATAACCAGACTACTGTGAAAGTATATGTAATGTTTCTTTTCAAAGTAAACACGTCATATGCATGAGTTTCTACATAAATCATGAGCTTTATTCATATTGCAATGCCTCCATCCACCATGTAATAATGAATCAAATGAACATTTCAGATTGTCCTGAAAAATGCATTATTTGAGTGAATTATTTCAGAAACAATATCCTAGTAACTGGAGCTTTTGCAGGAGATTTAAGAATAAATAAAAATAAATCACTGAGAAATTATGCATAAAAAAAATTCAAGAAAAACCCAAAAGAACAGCAATTAAAAAAAAGAAAGATAACAGCAATCAGACGAGAGACATCCCACACCTTTCTTAATATGTTAAAATAGATAAATGGGCGTAAACAAGAACGTTTCATCCTCAGAAATAATCCCGTAACACGTAAAACACTCCCTTAAAAACGCTGCTGTACTCAAATATATTCGATAAATACACACAACTGCTGCTGCTCCATAATAGGCGCATTCACACCGCAGTACTTTTCCCACAAAGGTTTATGTGAACTTAGTTCATGTGAACTCTCTAGTTCTCATGAACTAAGTACAGATCGCGTTCACACTGGAAAAAGTCCCTGGGGGTAGATTAGGCAAATGAAGCCGCTGATGTCACTTGTTCTTCTTCTGCTTTGGGTTTACTGGCAGGCCGCAAACCACTTCACGGCGTATACTGCCGCCCAAAGTCCCCGGCCGGAAGTCCCCGGAGTTGGGGACTGGCTTCAGTAGAAGCTGCTGGGACTCCCAGCAGCTTCTACTGAAGCCTTCCGAGTAAATCGCCAGAACGCCGACACCTCCTCATCTCCCATGTTTTATTTTGTGTTGCCATAAGTTAGTCTCTCTGCGTTTCTGCGCTGGGCTAATGCTAATGCTAATAATGCTAATGCGAGGATAATAAAATGGAGGCTTCACAAAACTTTTTGGGAGTTTTACGGGGCGTGGTTTGCAATCCGCCCAGCCAATCAGAAATATAGCTCTTTTCTCACAAGAGACCCGCACAAAAGTCCCTGCTCTCTAGCAGGGACTTTCGTGGGGGTAAAAAGGTTCACATGAACTAATTTTAGTACCGGCTCTTTTTGGTGTGAACGCGATAAAAGAGTTCTCATGAACTAAGTTCACATGAACCTTTGTGGGAAAAGTACCGCAGTGTGAATGCGCCTAATATAAGCTCTTATTAAGAGCAGGTTTTATTAGTTTGGAGGTGTTCTTGTTTATTCCCATGAAGCCGCTTGTTTAGAGTTGGCGAGGTCCTGATAATTTATTCCGGTAAATTACTCTGACCTACTAATTGACCTGACCGAAGTTATTGAGTCTATGTAAGTTTACTGCTTGGCTCAGATCCACCAACGTCAGCAAGATCTCACCTCTATTAACTTCCCGAATAATCAGGTTCAATTAACTGCTGTTTCAATTCAGACAACTCTTTTTTAATCTGTTTAAAGGTGGGGTAGGTAAGTTTCAGAAACCGGCTCGAGTGCACTAAAATTTGAAAGTACACAGCGGAAAAGAATCCGCCCCTTCCTTACAGAGCACCTCCTCCAACACACATGAACGCGCACATGACGTCAGCAGACTGGTGAAAGTGGCCGCCTGTTGCTGGAGAGTCATTGAAGTACTGCTGCAATGCACGCCCAATGACGGCACGCCCAATGAGGGCACGAGATACATTTGTGCGTGCACGAGATGGAAGGCTGACAGACAGGTCGGCAATCCAATCCGTTTAGCCGGCTAAACGGATTGGTTGTACTTTTTACAGTATTACGGCTTCCACAGATGACATTTTTTTATGGATTTTTTGTCAAAGCACTTCAGATATTCATTGCTACCGGGATGATAAGAGCATTCCATGGAATATAACAAAAAGTGTATCTCGAGCCGGTTTCTCAAACGTACCTACCCCACCTTTAAGGGATCCCGAAGGATTTTGATATCAGTAAATGGAGTGTGTTCCTACCTAAGTGTGTGTGTGGCAGAGTGCAGTCTTACCTTTGAAGCAGGAGAGGAGAGCACAGATTTTCTTTTAGTTATCCCAATCCAACAGGTGGGATCAGTTTATTTGAAGAAAAATAGGTCCAAACTAATACAGGGTTTTTACCTTCTCTCGTTACAACATTATAATCATACTAAAAAAAAATGATGCTGTGATCATGTTCAAATATGAAACTTTAATTCACAGTCTTATATTTATTGCCAAAATGTTTAACTTCAACTGCCCAATTCAGTTGTGACCTTTTAAAATCTCCCGATAGAATTTAGAGGGATTTCCTCATAAAAAGACCGGTGACAATAAAAATCTGAATTCAAACTTTCATTTTCACCCAATCAATTCACATCAGGTTCATACCTTTTTTCCGACACAGATGGCGGGTACTAACATTCAAAAACACACACCTATCTCCTGCAGGTATTCGGAGGAAGATCCTCACGGTGGCGGTTACTAATCACAAACCCACTCCTATCCGACACAGATGGCGGGTACTAACATCCACAAACACATACCTATCTCCTGCAGGTATTCGGAGGAAGATCCTCACGGTGGCGGTTACTAATACTCACACATCTCCCATCAAATCATTCCACTCAGCATTCCAACCAAGAAATTCACTCAGCATTCAAAGAAATTCACTCAGCATTCCAACCAAGAAATTCAAGAGATATTTACCAAGTTTGAGAGAACCTTACCGAGAGCTATTAACCCAGCTCTGAAGGACAGAGCCTACCGGGAGAGAGTATACCAGGGGAAACCCCCCTCTCTCTCGCGCTCTCTCAAAAAACCAGTCTCTTTATGCTCAAAAAACCCGGATCGAAACCCCAAAAAAACACCTCCTCTATTCCCAACCAACATCTTCTATTAGCTATGGCCTAAGACACACCTTCCCATGTTTGTGTAAAAAAAAGCTAAACATGACTAGACATTTTCTATGGCTATGACATAAACACCTTTTTGAGGCCTCAATGTGTTTCTCCTTAAGTCAGGAGCCCCCCCCCCCCCTGTGCACCCCTGTGAGAGGAGAGGGAAAAAACTGCCTTCTTCCTTATCAGTGACCCCCATAACTCATTATAGGCCTTACACTCAACTTAACAAACCACTTGGTTTTGTTTATACTGTAACTATAGAAAAACCTAAAATATGAAGCATTTCCATTGTGGGTTATACAAGAATATAATTGATTATATTTGATTATAACTAACTTTCGTTTTAAGTATTCAACATACTATGAAACTCTCAACACGCTGCAGAGTCCGAGGAAGAGAGGGATCTGAGGAGGAACAGAACGGTTTCATCATTATAATGATTTAGGGTTTTTTATAGAGAAATATATACATTTGATCACGAATAGAAACATTTAGAATGACTTTCCCTTGTGGTACCTCAAGTATAGTTTGATGCTAATACTTTTGTACTTTTACTTGAACAGAGTAGTTTTACAATTTAGTATTGCCACTTGTAAGTAAGTAAGAAATCTGAGTACTTCTTCCACCACTGCTTCTTCTCTCTCTCTCCTCACCCCTCTCTTCCTTCTCTCTCTCCTCACCCCTCTCTTCCTTCTCTCTCTCCTCTCTCCTTACCCCTCTCTTCCTTCTCTCTCTCCTTACTTCATTCTCTCTCTCCTCTCCCCTCCCTTCCTTTTATCTCTCCTCACTCCTCACTTCCTTCTCTCTCCTCACTCCTTGCTTCCTTCTCTCTCTCCTCACCCCTCTCTTCCTTCTCTCTCTCTCTCATCTCTCCTCACCCCTCTTTTCCTTCTCTCTCTCCTCATCCCTCCCTTCCTTGTATCTCTCCTCACTCCTCGCTTCCTTCTCTCTCTCCTCTCCCCTTCCTCCCTCTGCCACCCGTCCTCACTGCCCCGTGTGGCATGTAACTGCCCCCTCACAAAAATCCACTCACAAGTAAATACAAATTGATAAATGAAATAAAATAACGGAGGGGTAAATAAATATGGAATTAATTCAAACCAAATTAAATACAATTATTAATTCAATTATTGCACTTATTTATATTTCACAAACATTGTTTGCATTTAATAAAAATATAAATAAAAGTAATAGTAATAATATAAATACTTATAATAAAATAACACATTTATACAGTAGTTTTCACGGGTTAACATTTGATCATGAATAAATGGATTTAGAATTACTTTTATTTAGTAAACAACAACACCTCAAATGAACATAGGAAAAAGGTAAACAGATGTGTAAATAAAAGTGGAATGAACGAAAAACATAATTAAATAAAATTATGAATGTATCATCAATTATTTTATATAAGTTTGTCATTATTATAAGCATTTTTGGGATATTAATAATAATAAAAATAATTTAAAAAATACATTACATCATGCTTTTGACAGTGCTTTTTTTATTCATTGCTTATTTGAAAAAGGTACTTAGCTGTATATCATTTTAATTTGATCTTTAATTGTATTAATCTTTATCTTGTGTGAATCTGTCTTCAATCTGCCGTTTCAAATCCCGATTTTCCCCACGAGGATTAATAAAGCTCCATCTTATCTGATAAAAGGTTGAATACTCACTCAGGTCAGTTCTCATCAATTCCCAGGCCTTTCACTTCATCATTCTCCCTCATCTGTGACAAGGAGACAATGGTTACATGGTGATCCCTCTCAGTCAAATAAAAGCAAGACAAAATCAATAAATACCTATTAAATTAATTAATACAAATACAATGAAACCAAAATAATACAATACAAATGAAATAATTAATTTAGAAATGAAAGTGGTTAACGTCTCACCTCATCCAGCTGTGCCTTCGTCTCGTCCTCAATGCGTCGGATGTCGTCTATCGACAGATCGATCCATTTATCGATCCAGCAGAACAGCTGTCTGTGGAAGTGTGTGAAAACACGCTTCTCTATCTGGAAACCCCCGACAGGTGTGTGAGGAAACAGAGATTCAGATATTAGTTACATGGGAAATATAAATCTAATTATTACAACACATCCATTTCAGGGTTTCCGCTAGGATTTTTTTCTCGCCGGTCAAATGTCCGGACAGAATTAATTTTACCGGACAAATTTGAAACTTACCGGTCATGTTTCAATAATAATAAGAGTTGCGTAACAGAGTTTCCGTTAGCAGGTAATTACCGGACTATGAGCAGATATGCTCATGTTTAAAACTCAGTTAATGGGGAGGTGTCTGTCTGTCTGTCTGTCTGTCTGTCTGTCTGTCACCCCTTCCTTCTCTCTCTCTCTCTCCTCACCCCTCTCTTCCTTCTCTCTCTCCTCTCCCCTTCCTTCTCTCTCTCTCTCCTCACACCCCTATCTTCCTTCTCTCTCTCCTCTCCCCTTCCTTCTATCTCTCCTCTCACCCGCTCTCTCCTCACCCCTCTCTTCCTTCTCTGTCTCCTCTCCCCTTCCTTCTCTCTCTCCTCTCCCCTTCCTTCTATCTCTCCTCTCACCCCTCTCTCCTCACCCCTCCCTTCCTTCTCTCTCTCTCCTCACCCCTCTCTTCCTGCTCTCTCTCCCCACCCCTCCCTTCCTTCTCTCTCTCTCCTCACCCCTCTCTTCCTTCTATCTCTCCTCTCACCCCTCTCTCATCACCCCTCTCTTCATTGCCACATGTAACATAAACAAGGTTCGTTTACCTTGTGGATGGTTCTCTCCATAGCCGTCTGCAGGCCGATCCACTTGAACTCCACAGAGACCAGCTTGTAGGCGCACATGTGAGGACAGTCGGGGTTATCAGCCAGCTCTTTCTGCAAACACCCACAGGACACATCAAAACACACAGGACACATCAAAACACACAGGACACATCAAAACACACAGGACACATCAAAACACACAGGACACATCAAAACACACAGGACACATCAAAACACACACTTTTAGTAGGGAAACACATGCCTTTCCAGTGGTGGACTGTAATAAAGTACATTTACTAAAGTACTGTACTTAAATACCATTTTGAGACACTTTACCTGAGAAAACACTACCTTTTAGAAGCCAATATTATACCCCACCCTGGATATGTTTGAGTTACCCGGCTTACCTAACCCAAAACAAACACGATCTCGCTAAGCGGTCCTACGACGCTGGTTATCAACTCGGTAACTCAACCCAGGGTTTCTTTGTCCGGCTGAGAGCACGTTCACATGAAAGGGGCGGGGACAGTTTCAACATTTGACCAATCACAGACATGGACAAGCGTACTGACAGCGCAGCGTCACACTTCCTGAATGAAAAGTCAACTATAATATTAGACATATGAAGATGTTAAACTTTAAACATCCATGACTTAAACACTTTATCCAGGATCAAAGCCACAGAGCTGCACCTGCAAGGTGAATACAGCTGGGAACAGAACAAGTGTTTGAATACGTACATTAGGTTTATGATATCACTGCCCCGTCTAAAACACGATCTGACTTTAATTACATTTGTCTCGAGTGTTTCCTCAACTTAATGTGTTGCTTAAAATAATACTTCTGCATACAGTCTGTGACACTGTGAGTGTTGCACGGCCAGATACGGCTCAGCTGACTCAGATCAGGAGATGATACATTATGAAGTGATATGCCGCGGACTGTACTTAATGTTACTCTGATCCGGTTACTTATGTTGTGGCAGATATGTAAGTAAGCTTTCTTAACGCTAATGTTATAATAGTCAGATTGCTCTGAAGATGGAGGTGATATTCTATTAATGTTCACGTTCACACAGTCGGTGATTTTTGCCGGCCGTCTTTCCTGCGACGGCAGCTTTTCTGTATTTCCTTTCTCCTGTAATATGACTTGATCGCTTTAAACTCCGCACACTGAGCTCTGATTGGTCAGCAGGCGGTGCTTTCACTGAGTTGATCTCTTAGCCTGCAACCTAACCTGCTCCGGACCAGGTTAGCCGCACAGCACAAGTTACCATGGAGATCTAGCCCGCTAAAAAGAGAACCAGCTTCGTAGAACCGGAAACCCAGAGTTTTCCCTGAAGTTAGCCGCTAAGAGAAAATCCAGTTCGTAGTACAGGCCTCTGGTCAGAAGAATTTCATTGCCATTTCTACACTGAAGCTTATGTGCATTTGATATTAAAATCTTTGATCTTTAAATCCAGTGATATAATACACAAAAGGCGATTCTGTATCTTCTTCTTCTTCACCAGCATTTAAAATGTTAGGAGCAGTACTTTCCCTGTAGTCCTGATAAACAAACATGTCCTCCTCTCACCTTCCACTCCGGTCCCAGAGGCCCTCGGCCCGTTTTCACCGAGTTGAAGATGGCCGGATCGTGTTCTGGGTTGTAATCCTACAGAAAGAAAGAAGAGCAATCACAAAAACGGAGCAGAAGGACAAACATGAACCAAACCCAGCAAATACAACCAGAGGGTTAAAGATGACCCATAAAACATGGACATGTTTTTGAGAACATGCAGAGGACTCTTACCTTTGGATGGATGCTATTTTTGTCAGCGATGTCGATGTCGACTATCTGCACTTCATCCCATTTGCTTTTCTCCAGGCCGTGAACCTGCAGCGAATCAGAACCAAGAGGTCAGAGGTTTGGAAGAGGCAAGGAAGATATGAAACACATGTTACAGTTATATTTAATTTAAGATGCCTTTCTTGCACACTAAATCTAAATGATATCCCACTTCTATATTGGGAGATATGAAATACACAAACTTGGTTGTGATTCCAGCACATTAGCTTCATTAGTTATAATAAAGCTTTATTTATATAGTACTTTTCATACAGCTCAAAGTGCTTTACAAAATGGCGACACCTCACAAGTTAAAAATAAAACAACAAGAAATTCCCCTCAGATTATTTGTTAAGAACTTTACAGGTACATGCAACCAAATATAACATTTTAACAGGTTAAGACAGCGGTTTTCAAAGTGTGAGGCGCGCATCCCCTGGGGGGCGCCAGAGAGCTTCAGGGGAGGCGCAGCGAGAGAAACAAATAACGAGAAACAGTGAAATCTAGCTCGTTAACTTTATGCGAGCGGCAACATGGATCGATTTTTAGTGAAGTTACCTAAAGTGAGAGAGGAGACAGCGTCTGGCAGAAAGCGTCACTTGCACACTTTTGGCTGTCTGTGGAGACCGAGTTCCCCCACCTCGCCAACAAGGCTGTAAAAGTGCTCATTCCCTTCACCTCCGCCTACCTGTGTGGTTTTCCGCCTTGACTTTGATCAAAAGCAAGTACCGGTCAAGCAGGGGCGGATCTACCGGCTGCCACCCCAGTTGGCAGCTTTGTTTTGAAAGAAAAGTTGTGGCTCATCGGACATTTATGAGAGAAAATCCCTAATGTCCGAGTGCAAGTGAATGCAGCACAAGACGCGAGCCTTGTAACCCCAGTGATTAGCGGCGATTTAATTTGAGTGGGACGGCGCATTCGGACCCAAGTAGACGGAAGGAATGAGGTGCGGTCTACAATGACAGAGAAGAGCCTGTCAGTGTGGCTGTACTCAGCATTGAATCAAAGCGCACTAAAGCTTTAGATCTTAATACGTCTGTGAGGCGTTTTGCTGAACAACAAGGTAATCGCCGCATTCAGCTGTAATAGGCAACTTGATGCTCTGCTCACGGATGATCATAAATAACTGTTAAGATGATGACCTTGTATGTGTGTATATATTTTTTTCTTTGTGGGGGTCTGCCCCCAAAAAACAGTTGTAAGTCCTGAGAAAGTCAAATAAGACGGTGTGTAAAACTTCACTGCCCAGCCAACAGAAAGTAACCACTTTGATTTAACTAGGCCAGTAGGTAAGGGCATTCCACTGCATAATGATACCCCTGCATTATAGCAACAACAATAGCAATAATAATTGGGAGGGGGGCGCGGCTGTTCTTATGTTCTCTGAGGGGAGGCTCACCTTCCACACTTTGAAGACCCCTGGGTTAAGAGACAGTACAATGTTTGATAAGAATAAAAACACAATAAAATTAAGATTCCTCTCGGAAAACAAGACTCAACATGATGTAACAAAATGAAACCCTTTAACATCGTTAAACATATCGGTACGGTTCAAATCAATATAAAAAGATAATAGTAATAAAAACGTCATCATTCTAATAAAGGTGAAACGATTCAAATATTAAAAGACCAACGTAAAAGGAAATGTTGCTTTTAAAACTGTTAAATAAATAAAACAATATAAAAGCAGGTAAAGACTAAAAGACCATTGAAAGGGACGGGTTGCTAATGAAAAGCTAATCGTCGTACAAAAATACAAGGATACATATTTATGAACAAATATTAGTAGTAGTAATATACAGCTTCTTTGGACATCATTAACATTTATCTCTACTTACATTTTCCTGGTCTCCCATATCAGGCTTGTGCCACGTCTCGATGGTGATGCTGAAATTGTCTTTCATGTATTCGTTCTGTAAACAACAGAGAGACCGAGGATAGGATCAGTCAACAACAACAACATTATGAAGAGTTACAGTTTGTAAACAGACATGGGAAACATTATTTGAGCCTTTATGCAGAATCAGGCCTCGACATATCCATTACATCACATCACATGTCAGACGCTTTTATCCAAAGCGACTAACATACTCAACACTGTGGGCAATCCCCACAGGAGCACTTTGGGGTGAAGAGTCTCACTTCGGTTAAATGGATTCCTTGCGTCCCTCAATTGCGTCCTTTCCCTGCGTCTAGTCCAGTGCTTCTCAAAGTGTGGTCCGCGGACCACTGGTGGTCCGTGAGCGCCCCCTAGTGGTCCGTGAGTATATTGGTAACATTTCACATTTGAAATAAATACATTTATTTTCGCACTCTCGCGGGAATATCTCCGCAATGGAACGAGCTTAAGTTTCACTTTCAATTGCATGCTATTGCCCAGATAAACACCTTCATCACACATTTTGCCACTTGTTTGTACCATTTTCAGGCGATTTGTAAAAAACGATGTGTTTTGGGATATTTGTGGAGTTAGGTGGTCCGCGAGTGTTTTTTTATTGGTTAAGTGGTCCTTGGTATGAAAAAGTTTGAGAAACACTGGTCTAGTCCCTCCCACCAAGGAAGCATGGAGAGACGCAAGGAAACCACGAGAAGCAGGGAAATGAGTTTTAAGAACAATGGGACGTCGTTTCCTCCGGAGCGTCACGTGAAGCCACGTCCGTTTGTGATGACGCCGCACAGCTGATCGTTTGACAGCAGCCAGATCAGCTGCATCGTCCAATCAGTGAGCGATACACAGTAAGGGGGCGGGGCATCGTTATCGCTCCTCCGGCACAAATAAGGCCACTGGGACGGTACTCAAGATGGCGCAGACAAATCAACCTCCGGTGAGACCGAGCCCGAGGAGCGAGGAAATTAAAATAAGAAGTGAAACGCACCCAAAGACATACTGACTGCAGTGGGTTTGAGCCTGTGACACCCTGATCCGAACACCAACGCACTATCCACTGCACCACACGCCTCCCACCATTCAGGATTTTTGGAGAATCAATCTTCATTTTTTTCTTCAAACACACACAGCACTGCAGTCAAAATCTCCCGGATGCATTTCATAGATATTGTTTCCAGGCCAAATAATTATCTCTCCATTTGAATAAGATAAAAAAACAACTATTTTATATTGTATTTTCTTTGGTGCCAGGTTACCACTGACACAAGACACTTTCTCTCAATTTATTCAAAATAAATGAGCCAATTATTGTCAAATCAATAACTCATTGCTTTAATTCAACTTAAGCTCTACAGTATGGAGATCCCTGAATGTGACGGTTACATTTTCCTTGCTGGCATTTAGGACAACGTAAAACATTCCTAATATCTTCTTGAAGTTTATTGTAGGATGCTTCTGGTAATTTCACACATCTTATTTATTCATTTTGAGGAGCAGTAAGGTCCTTTTGTTTTAATAGGCGAAGATTTTGTGGGGTTTTCCCCTAGTGTTTGTATTTAGTATCCTCATTATCGTGCATATAAATCGACTCAACTAAATGTCTAACTCTTCTCCCTATAGTATAGTCATAAAATAAATACTCACAGATAGGACTGCATCAGAGGGAACGGTGCAGAGCGGAGGAGAGAGAGGACAGAAGAGAAGGAGTTATTAACACACACACCGTAAACAGCTGGAGTGTGTATTTAAACAGATTGTGTGTGTGTGTGTGTGTGTGTGTGTGTGTGTGTGTGTGTGTGTGTGTGTGTGTGTGTGTGTGTGTGTGTGTGTGAGATTCACCTGTTTTACAGTAAGGATATGCGTTCCACGCCTTCTCGTGAACCCCCAGAGAGCCTTTGGGAGCGAGCTTCCTGATGAGATCCGGCACTTTCGCTTTACTGCAAACACACACACACATTTTCAATATAAAATCTATGTTATTGACTAAAGATTTACATATTCTATTAAAAAAAGATATGTTTTTATTTTATTAATGATGTGAATGATTTAAAAATTATTTTAGAAAAAAATAAATGGTGTATTATTGATATGGCGTTTCATCACGGCAGCATTTAGTTTAGACAGTAGCTGCCGGGTCCCGCATGAGCTCAGCCCCCTGCTTTTTATTTTTTATCAATTTCTTTTATTTTTAAAACTTTATCCCCCAAATCAGCACTTTAGAAACAGGAAGTGAAATAGAGGGATATGAGGCATGGCTAGAATGATCTGTTTGGTATTTGGAGCAAAACACTTCATAGACATGTTTTTTATATATTTATATATATCTGAGACCTGTGCTATTGCCTAAAAATAGCATGATAGGTGAGCTTTAATCACAACACATCAACAGCATTAGTTATAAAGAAAGGATGAAAGAGAACAATACAAGCCAAACAACACACGTTACATGTCACATATAGCACTGTCACTACCCGATCTGCAGCTCTGCCCGATCTGCAGTGCGCATGTGCGAGATGGTCCGCCATATTGGACAACTCCGGACGGCAACCCAAGAAGGACACTTGACACAGTGGCTTTTGGCCAGCTATATGCCATACATTTTTGCACACATTCACAGTAAATATGTATTCAGTATGATAGCTGTCTAACAGAAGTTAAATCCATTTCTCACTTATTCTGACAATGTACTCAACCCCAAATAAAAGAACCCAATAAAAAGAGTTGTTAAATAATAGTGAAGTCACGTTGTAATAATAACTCATCTCTCTCGAGTTTTCTTTTTGAGCTTTGCTAAAAGCCACTGTGTCAATGTTGTCCTACTTAGGTTGCCGTCCGGAGTTGTCCAATATGGCGGACCATCTCGCACATGCGCACTGCAGATCGGGCAGAGCAGCAGATCGGGCAGTGACAAGCACATCACAATCACACAACAGAGACGAGGGGTCCATGATCACAACATGTACCCAAGCCCCCAGGAAGTGCACCGGAGTCTGATGAGAATATTCGTTGTGGCCAAACGGCGGTACTACACTTCCTTTAGGTTGCTGGGCCCGGAAACAGTTTTTCCCATTGATTTACATGGGGAAAGAGTGGTCTGTAACTCGTTGGATAATTTTTTTTAAACTAAATAAACAACCCAGTATGAACACGTGTATAGCCTTTATTAAAAACATTCGTTCCTCAAGTTGTAAAATGTGCTAATAACGTTATTCTGAGTTATTTCCCTCTGCATTATGAACGCGCATCTAACCCACGGGACCACGCCGCCCGGCACGTTCATGTTACGTGTTCAGCACTACATGCGTTTCTCTTTACCCATGGATGCACAATAACAACGGACCCATATCGCCTTACTGCCACGGAGCTGTAATAATGGATATATTGCACATGTTTGCTGTAATTCATCATTTGTAAAATATTATACTACATGGGCTGTATGATTAAATCTTGTACCGTAAATGTTGTATTAAATAAAGTTTAAGTTAATATTAACGACGTTAGATTAACGTCCCTGTAGCTTATTATTGCACTAAGAAGCTTATTGCACTGTATATATATATTGTGACGGCCCCAGAGCCTGTGTGGAAGGTGTGTTACAGGTCTTACGGTGGGGTGGAGCTGAAGAGGCCAATCAGCGCGATCGCGGACACCTGGCCGGCGCTGAGGTGCTATTAAGCCCAGCTTCCCGGAGTCAAGGAGGCCCCTGACTCTCTCCAAGCCGGCCGCATGAGGAGTAACACAGCGATCCTCTCCCCTCGTCCATCTATTTTGTGCATAATATTTAACAGCTGCAATAAATGTGCCGTGGTTTTTGAAAACTCGTGTACGTTTGGTTATCTTTCCGTTGTGGCCTACGAGCCGGTCATAACAATATATATATATATATATATATATATATATATACATACATACATACAGTACAATAATTCTTCCATGCTAAATGAAGCTCTGTTGGATATCACTAGATCCTGTTACAGCGTAATATAAGTACATAACGATTGATGTGTACATTAGCATCATTACTAGCTAGCCGCTAGCTGCCAACTGCCGCCTCGTTAATATGAAATCCATCATAATAACAAACCATTACCATGCTGTCATGAACGTGCGGTGCTGTTACGTGTACGCAAATTGACGTGCTTGATGTGAACGAGCATTTTGGTTAAAGTTGCGCATGCGCTATGAGCGCACATACGGGTACTTCTCAGGCATGCAGAAAGCTTGCACATCTTCCGGCGCAAACTGAAAACTCATCTCTTTCGACTCCACTTCGAGCGATAGAACTATTAACAAAGCACTTATATACTAATAAAGGACTGGCTTATCTAAAGCCAGTTGAGTAGCACTTGAAATGTTTGGCTCTATGAAACCTGATGTACTTTTATGATTCTGTTTTCTTCAAGGTTGTGTCTTCCTGGTCGAATGTACTTATTGTAAGTCGCTTTGGATAAAAGCGTCAGCTAAATGCAATGTAATGTAATGTAATGTAATGTAATGCATGCCGGGTAATCTGTGACGTTTCGCTCTCTCAAAAGTTGGGCCATTTTATCATCATGCGCCAATGAGCAACTCTCATAGAAATGAATGAGGCCCCGCCTCCCATGCTGTATCCAGTTCTTATTATAAATCCATGCATGTAACACACACGCCATATCCAACACAGACTATGAGGTGAGCAGCGTACCTGTTCAGGTGGTAGATCTTGTGGGTGTACTGTCCCTTCTCCCCATCCTTCTCATACGGCTTGTTGGCTATAACCTCGACTCCTTCTCCCCCTCCAGTCTCATTCTTACTGGCCTCTGCTACTGCGTACAGCTGACCCACCTGGTACTGCAGGGACACAAAGGGAGAGAGCAGGGTTAACATTCATACAACCAGGAATTCAATCAGATATAAATTCAATAAAACCATTCCAGTTCAGAGACAGAATCAAATACAAATGTATTATAGCCCCAAATCACAAGAAATGCCTCAAAGGGCTGCACAAAGCAAAAACAAAATACAAACGTCATAGCATAACAATTTAAAAAACATTATACAACAACATAAGTATTGCCATGTGATAAAAGCATGTGACTGACGTGATGGTAATTAGGAAACTAGGTGATGGAAGCTAGTGTACGAGGAAGACAGATGCGAAGAGATGGGTTTTCAGTTTGCTTTTAAAAGATTTGTTTGATTGATTCTGGGATTTTCCCCTCCTGTAGAAGGTGTGATGATTAACAAGCAGAGTATGTCGCCCCCTAGTGGTCAAACAAATATCCCTTGATCTGCACGTATAGCAAATTGCAATGGGACACCTTTAGTCGTTTTCTATTTCATATCAAAAGAAGATATTTTCTTGATGTAAACGGAGCTAAATATTTTTGTAAACACCTCCCTAGCTTCTGAGCTCTTTCTAAACTACTTCTGTGGTACAGATGTCTCCCTATGTGCTTATGTATTCCTGAGAAGACTACTGTATTATTATTATATGTGGAAATACAATCTAATTAACTTTATATTAAGAGCAATACACCTGTACACAAACTGTAATATATACTAGTTATATAATGTAGGACAGTGTGCACGTTTAACTTTGTAAATATATATCATTTTTTCCAAGATGCATTTTATTGCAGGCTTTTTTTTTTACATAAAAAAAAAAATGTAATTCCCAAATTGGAGCATTTTTAGATTATGTTTATTTTGTATTTAGTTCTTAAATGGAGCAACTGTCACAAAGCGCAATTTCCTCCGAGACAAATAAAGTATCTGATTCTGATTAGTGACATTTTCAAAGAAACCTGATGACCTCAAATGAACCGTGTATGGACATTGTGTGTTCTGCCGCCCCCTAGTGGCCAAAACACGTTATTAATTCAGCTTCAAGTTATCCCGTTTGAAGTCAAAATGTAGAAATGTCTCTTGCTTCCTGTGTTCAGCAAATTAAGTAGGAAATATTTCTTTATTTTCTTTTGTGTATCAAAAAATAAGCTCTTTTCTTGATATATGTTTTGAGAACAAAGCTATAAGGCACTGATTTTTGTGTTTTTAAACACCTCACCAACTTACTTCTTGCACTTCTTAGCTTGAAATGTGCTAAGAAGATATTTCAGATGATTCCTTTCCAAACTATGTCTCCCTATATATGCTTATGTATTCCTGAAAAAGTCAAGAAGGGTTGTTGCACTACTGTATACAAATACAATAATATTATGAAAAATGTAATCTATGTTTTATTTGAATACCAATTCACCAATGTCAATGCATGTACATGTTATATAACGTAGAACAATATGCCCATTTGTATTATATTTTATTTCAGCTTTTACGAGACTTTATACTTTAGCTTTTTGTATCCGTATACATTTTTTATTTAATCATTATTTTTCATTCGGAAATGGAGCAGCCGTCACAAAACCCAATTTCCTTCGAGATAGATCAAGTATCTCATTCTGATCAATAATAATAATGCATTGGATTTGTAAAGGACCTTTCATTGCTAAAAGTAATCCCAAAGTGCTACAAGGGGCGTGATGTACTTTCAAAAAAAGAAACAGAAGTGCGTGTGTGTGTGTGTGTGTGTGTGTGTGTGTGTGTGTGTGTGTGTGTGTGTGTGCTAAAAGAAAGTGTTTAGGCCCTTCTTAAAGGTTGTAACCCAAAAGCCTAAAAAATAAACCTAATGAACTCTAACCTCTCTTTTTATGACCTCCAGTTAACCCTTTCCCTTTATCCCGGACTCAGACTTCAGCCTCTCCCAAAAAGCACTCGGCCATTTCTAAACTCCTCTTCCTCTTCCTCCTCTTCCTCCTTCTCAGAGTTCAACCCTTCACTGAGACAGCACTAAGGGCAGAGACTCTGGAAACAATGAGTCACAGCTGCTGAATGTGTGTCGTCTTTGTCTCTTTTAAACGCTTCGTAAACATTTAGACATTAGCGATGACATCTGAAGTTTAGATCTAACACCAAATCTGTCTAAATCCACTTTAAAATGCTTCGCTTATGAACTGGGTTTGAAGCTGGTTTCTGTGCACTGGCGCAGATACAGATATTCATATTCTATGTGTGGTGTTATATGCCAGTGGTGGCTGCAGAGGATCGATTCAGCGCCGGTGTGTAATCCACATTATTACACTAACTCAGTATTGATTTGAAGTCTAAAAGTCAACATTAAATGCAATCAGTTCCCAACGTGTTTTAATCCAAGCAAATATTCTACTTTAATCCATTTCTGTTGTGGTTAGCCTCTTAAAAAACTGCTTTCTCACTGAGCTCCATGCACTGTTTGCTCCTTGCTGCACTAAAGGGCACGTGATGTTATAGATTCAACCTGCATTTCATTATCCTTAAAATGCAAATAGAGAAAAGTTAACAACAATGTTTTCCTTGGCTAGTGAGTGATGAAAATCTTAGTCTGGTGGAAATCAACTATATAAAATCACAATAATTAAAAAAGGGTGTTTTTTTTAAGGCGATGACGTCAACACTATCCTCAACAGAAGGTCCCCTCCACACCTAGAGTCCGCTTCTTTGCACCAGACCACAGTTTGTTACATGGTTTCATTTCTCAGAAGGTTCGGTTTGCGTTCACATGGGCAAAACTCAAACGGACTATAAACTTTAAACACAAGTCATGTGCTCGGAAATGCTGTTCACCCATTGGTCAGACATTAAGGGGGTAACAACGCAAATCCCGGCTATTTCTACCGGAGCCTCCGCCATGGAGCATCGGCACTTTCGGGAGGTTATTCTCATGCTGCTGTTAATCTGGAGATCAACAGACTCTAGCGGCCCGCGCATATGATTATATCATCAGACAACGTCCGTTAACAAACATTATAACATAATGAGACGTTCTGCAGTCAGGAGGGCGTTTCACCGACGACAGGTGGCTCTGACTTTTTACTTTACACGACACTCTTCAACTCTTCATTCTGCTTCACTCTTTAACTAAACAACCGCGGATGTCTTCAAAGACTCTTTCGCTAAAGGTTTTTTAAGATATCCGCGTTCTTGTGACACGTAAATACTACGCTTCCTATGTTTTGGTGCGGACTGCTTTCACATCAGCAATGAACCACTCCAGAGTTCGCAAGCAAGCGCTCCGAGACCACCTATTTTAGAGTCCGGTTGTTTAGTTCCCTTCAGAGGTCTCGGGCTGCGTTCACACCGACCCAAATGAACCGCACCAAGCGGCTAAACGCACCAGGGTTCGATTCAACCGGACTAAACAAGGCAGGTGTGAACGCACCCAAAAAATAATACATTCGGTGCAACTCCAAGCCCTGTTCTCAGGTTAAACCTTATTTAAATTATTTTCAAAGAAGCTCAAAGGTGGCAACCCCTCATATGGATGCAAAGTAAGAACTTTAAGACAACAAAATCAAGGAGACAGCCTTAAAATATAAGAACTGCTGCTGTAAACGGTCAAATCCCACAACAATTGTCAGTATATTGGAGAAAGAGAAGACAAATCGGTATAAAATGTGGATTTAAAATTGTATAAAAAGCTTGGAAAAACAACACTTTTTTGTACACAAAGATGGAAAAAGCTAACCTAAAAAATAAAACACCACAAGTGCAAATTGTGCTTTTTGTCTAAAGGCTATATAATCAGGGCTGCACATAACTGGTGCGCAGGTGCGCATGCGCACCTCCGCCAAAAAATGAGCACCGGGTCATTTGAAAAAAGGCGCATTTGCGCACCAACATTGAGAGAGAGAGAGAGGAGAGAGTGAAGAGACAGAAGGGAGAAGAGAAAAGAGAGAAGAGAGGAGAGAGAAGAGAGAGGAGAGAGGTTAGAAGAGAGAGGAGAGAGGAGAGAGGTTAGAGGAGAGAGGAGAGAGGAGAGAGGAGAGAGGAGAGAGGTTAGAGGAGAGAGGAGAGAGGGAGAGAGGAGAGAAAGACATTTGCGAGTTGCATATGAACTCAGGGTCGGCTCCGTAGCTCTGGCGTAATAGATGGTCGCCTCGGGCGCCAGATCCGGGGAGGCGCTGCGCTGTCAGTCTGGGAGGGAAAAACAATTTTTTGACCGTTGGGGCTCATCCTAATTTTCGGCCTTGAGGTAACAACATTCATAATTAAGTAAATGTAACACCCTTTTCACCCCGGTACACGTTACATTTGCCCTGCCCGATGGGCGCTGTAAGTGATGAAGATGAAAATGGGGGATGTTGGCTTATCTGGCACCCGCAGCTCACAGCCAAAGTCCGAGTGAGAGAGGGAGAGAGGGAGGATGCACCGGTTCCGGCGCTGTTGTTATTAGCATCTGGTGCTAGCTGCTCTAACGGAAGAAGAAGATGTTTCTACAATAATGTGGAGGGAGAGTCCTCTCCAGTCAGACTGAGAGGCTGATAACTACAGCTCAGTGAGGTAAAGGACTCTGAGTGTTTAGATATAACTTTAGTCTAAGTTCAAACGGTTTGGTCACAATTTATGTAAACACATATTTCCAAGGCACTCCTTTATAATTATTGGGATAAACAGGTTTGAAATCATTCCAATGTATACTATAGGACAGTAACCAAACATATCCTTTAAAACTGGAGAGATAAAAAAAAAATGCATAAATAAATCAATGTTAAGGTAAAATAAGATATGAATGAACAACACAAATAAAATAAGTTACATTCATTTGTTATTGGCTATGGTAGGTTATTGGTTATGTTCACATACTTATTTGATTACATCCACTTTTCTAAGATGACAACAGAGACTTTCAACCCAAACCCAGCTGTTGACTTGTGGATGCAAGCAGCTAATCACAGACTCAACCAGAGAGGAAGTAGTAGGCCTACATCATCAGCTACCATGTCTGACAGAGAGGAAGACAGTGAGGAGAACAGTCA